CGGACAGCGAGTCTCCTGCAGGAGTTCAGCTGGGAGGTGTTTGATCATTCACCCTACAGCCCGGACCTCGTTCCCAGTGATTTCCATCTTTTCCTACACCTCAAGAAATTCCTGTCCTGTCAGCGTCAGCGTTTTGAGAATGACAGAGAGGCGGAGATGGTTGTCACACAGTGGTTCCAATCCCCGGCGGCAGACTTCTACGACACAGGTATTCAAAAGTTGGTCCTACGGTATGACAAATGTCTCAATTCCGGTGGCGAATATGTTGAAAAATAGCTGGACACTTGCTGTATCTGTTGCAATAAATATTTCCATGAAATTGTGTTTTGTTTCTGTAAACGGCCCCAGGGAAACTTACTTTGTAGACCAGCCTCGTACTTGCTTATCATTCACAATCATCCTACCATTTCTAATTCAATGTTAAATAACCTTAGCAGTTGATAGAGCCTCATAAAATAACTGAAAAAGCAACAATTAAGAAATTATCTTGCCTCCTTCAAGTGATGTGCTGGCAACTGTTTCAGTCTTGCCACTGCTTGACTCCATCTCTGGTTCTCTAACTATGTGAACAAATGGTCGTTTTTCTGGATGTTTGTCAGCAAGATGTCTCTCCACTACATAACGTTGGAAGTGGTAGTACATGCAGTGAAGACACTTGTAAAGACGACTGTCATGCATCTTCAAGTGAGCGCCCATGCGCTCAATGGACACTATTTGAGCCGCATTCTCCTGCAGGGCTGACTCAGGACAGTGAGGACACCTGTGGGCCACAGACTACAGATAACATATTTCACTCAATTTTAAACAAAAGCTCGGTTTTCCATACTGATACCATAATTATAAAGACTGTATTGAAAATGGCATTCTGGTGCTGGTAAAAATAAATAAATATCTGGTTATATGTACTCTATTTATATACAAAAAGGATACACATTTTATTACAAAATTTCCATCCAAAAATTAGCATTTAATCTATATTCAGTGCCAGCCTGTTTTCATTCACAGAACACCAAAAATTTGTGAAATATGACCTTTAGCATGTCCACTTTTCTGCTGTCTCCCTATCCGTTCTCCACATATGCTATATGTATTTATATATGCGTCTGTCTGTCTACCTAACTACTTATCAACCTACCCACCCACCAATCCATCTATCTACACATACACAGTGCGGCAACTAGAAAACGGGACTGATGCTGGAAGAAAATAATGGTTCCATGTATGAGTAATTTGAGCATTGTTTAAACAAAGTAGCTTCCTCCTGCATCTACACACAACGATCATGAAGCAACTGGATGGAATGGCGGATGGCCGTGTCTGGAATTCTGTTCAGTACTCTCGTTACAGCCCTTTGAATGGCGTCCACGTCAACAAAATAACAGCCTTTCAGTGGTGCTTAGAGTTTTGGAAACAAAAAGAAGTCACACGGTGCTAAGTTCGGTGAATACGGTGGATGTGACAACACACAGACTTTTTTGGTGACCAAAAACTCCCTAACAATGAGAGCTTTATGGCTTGGTGCATTGTCATGCAACAGGAACCTAGTGCAATGTTCTTGATACTGAGGCCGTACATGACAGATTCTCTGAAGCAAACGTTTCAAAATGTCCAGATAGTAGGCAGCAGTAACTGTCTGGCCACTGGGTACGAACTCTGTGCACAATTCCCTCGCTATCGTAGAAAATGATTATCATTGTTTTGATTTTTGATATTTCTTGCTGACTTCCACTCTGCACTTTGTTGCTTTGTTTCGGGGTCGTATTGGAAACACCACGCCTCATCACCCATAACAATCGAATTCAGGAAGTTGGGTTTGTTTTCAGTGGCCTCAATGAGTTCCCTGCAGTGTTCAACTCAGAGCTGTTGTTGATTGTCTATTAACGAATGTGGAACAAACCGTGCACAGACCTTACTTTTTTTCAAACCTTTCCTTATTACTGCACAGATCCTCTGAAATCATTCGAAGCGTTGCACATCGGTCATTGGTGATTATTTCCCACACGTTTTCAATCAACTCTGGCGTTCGAATCGTTTTTGCTGGGCCAGGATGTTCATCGTCTTCCAATGATTCTCTTCCATGGCAGAAACGGTTATGCCACTCAAAAAAACGTGTACGAGACAGACAATTATCTCCGCACACTTGCTTAATCATTCGAAACGTTTCCGTGGCACTTTTGCCCAGCCGAACACAAAATTTGATGTTCGCTCTTTGTTCCATTCTTGCTTCACAACACAACACACAAGAGAGTCGTCTACTTCGGCTCACACCATGTTCTCAAAAGGCGGCAATGTATGATGACCTTCAGTGTAGCACTCTAGGAACAATCCCTCTTTGAATTCATATTCACTTCTGGTAGACGGCAACACCAGTCCTGTTTTCCAGTTGCCACACTGTGTATATACATGTATGTGTATATGCTGGAACGATGTAAAATATTTTGATAAGAATAGGATAGTATGTAAGCAGCAACTTCAGAAAGTTCCAAACAGAAGCAAATATGGTCACACTAAGGTGAGTAACTTGGAACATGCTTGTGAATGTTGAGACATGCACACACCCCTTACATTTGTCACAACTGATCATCTGGCATCAAACCAGAAGGCATCATATATAAGTCCTGGGTGAGAGTGCAGTGCATCAAAGGTTTTGAAGCAGGGAAATGCAATGACTCAAGCAACAGGTGGTTTTATTTCATAATTCTGTCAATAACTCAGACTATATAGCATCAAATGGTAGGATTACTGAAAAATGGAAAAAAAATACCTCAAAGGAAGTGGTAGCAGACCATTTAAAGGTCCTTTACCAGCATTTGCCCAGATGAACCACAAAATACACAAAAAATCTCAAACATGATAGTGGGTCGACAGGCTGAGATTTGAATCCAGGATGTCAAATACAAAGCAGTGATCACCACTCAAACACATCATTCAGTTTTCAGAAGTTCTGAAGATGCACCACAATTATCAATAAAGCACACCTAGAATGCTGATGCAGGAACAATGAGATTGCATGAGGATCAGCAGTAAGCCCATCAATGCAACAGGCAATGATACAAACTTTCCTAGAAGCTGCCTTACAAGGCTACAAGGTTACCTACTCGCACTGAATCAGTTTTGCAGCACTCCTAAAACTTTGCTTAACACACACTGTGCCGTGCATAAATTACTATGCTTGCTGTCCTGTCTGGCAGTGTTGCAACTCAGTCTTTGATGTATGCATGTCCATCTCCACTTTTTCCCTCCCTGTCATGCCACTGATCACCTCGTGAGATAGTGACTTAGTTCAGAATCCCATCCAGTGTACATGTGCAAAATTATGTCTTCATCTGTTTTTCACAATCTTGTTTCAGCTACTGACAGTTTTCTAGGTTCATAACAGTCCACTAACATGGCATCTAACAGGGTAATTTATTTTCAGTGGTACTGCCATTGTTGTCTTTCATGGGGTCACCAATTCCATAGACATTGCCCCGATTCTTGCGGCTTTTTTTTTGGGAGGGGGGGGGGTGTCTACTGCATGCACACTGTTCTGGTATGTCCAAGTTCAGTATATTTATTCTTTTTCTAAGAACATATATTCAATATTTACACATGAGCTTCAACATCTTTCATTCGTGCTACATAGTTTTGAGAACTGCCCCTTTTGATCCATGTGCTGACTATGTTTAGTGGTATGACAGAACACAATTGTTAGCTAACATGTGGCTGTGTGTCACTCATGCTCCAAACTGAAAATTTGATGCCTCATAAATAATTCAAGATCAGAAAACAATGTTCAGCGTGAATGTAAGAAATAACACAAAGGGGGTTAAGAAATAAACATCATTACTCACCGATATGCCGTCTCATCAAAGTGGAGTGCTCGTAGATGGTAACGTAACATGGTCTCATCGCAAGTAAGGTAGTTGCATCCTGGAGCCCCACACACATATCGTTGGTGTTCAGGCACAAACCTAGGTAATTTTGCTTGTAGTTCCTCTGTTAGTGTTAGGCTCCCTGCACATATAATATTTTAAGTCACAGATGTCCACATTACACTTCCTAACACAGATACACAACTAGACATGCCAAGTTTGTTTGATAGATGGTGAGGCAGTGTCCATACAACATTTTAAAGATACACTAGTCAAAAGCAATTTATTCAAATTCACTCAAAGTAATGTGAATTGAAAGACAAGTAAGTGTCTGCCATTACTGAGGAACAGTAATAAAGTTACTTCTTAGAAATAACACCTGTCAGATGTCCATCAAGACTGATGCACTGATTCATGACATTTACCATGACATGTAGTAACATCACTGGTGATATGGCACTAATTTCTTCAGAAATTCTCTGTTAGATTATTTAAGTCTGCCAAACATAGGCAGTGGGCTGGTCACTCACTACTCACAAATCCATACTTCAAGACCAAGAAACCTCTGAATGGAGGCGTTGAAGACCCACACTGGGTTGTAGAGCCAAGGAAGAAGAAAAAGTTTTGAAACACTTTACTCTTCAAGTAGCCCCATAAAAATGAAATCACAAGCCAAACAGATTTGCCAAGAAATGTCATCATAGCAGGAATATTTTCATGTCTCTCAATGTAAAAATACTGTCTGTATGTCTAGCTGTAAAAGGCGAACATTCTGAAATGTATCTGCAGTGCACCTTTGTAAATTGTACTCATCACCAAATATAATTAGACATATAAAGTCCGAGGACAATGAGATGGGCAAGGCATGTAGCCTGCATGGGAGAGAAAAGAAATGCACACAGTGTTGGTGGGTAAACCAGAAAGAAAGGGACCACTAGCAAGACCTAGCTGTAGGTAGGAGGATATGAATATGGATCTTAGAGAAACAGGATAGGGTGGTATGGACTGGATTCATCTGGCTCAGGATAGGGACCAGTGGCAGGCTCTTGTGTACATGGTAATGAATTATTGGGTTCCATAAAATGTTGGGGACTTCTTGAGTGGCTGAGTGACTGCTGGATTCTCAGGAAGGACTTGGCCCCATGGAATAAGTAAGAAAGTCTGTTGTGCAGTGATACAGTAAATGAGAACATGAGTTATAATTTACACTGCCACCACAGTTGTTTAGATTAAACTTCACATACACATATCTTAATTATCTTTAACTTACTACCTCAAAACAAACAGCAGGCATACACAAAATTCTAAAAAGATAAAAAAATCTTCTGAACATTAATGTCCAAAATTTGTTAATTTTATGGATAGCACATAATGTAATAAATAGTATCTTTGTTCCTTCCAGGATGCATTACAGTCTATTAACACAAGCCAGATGAAGCATTAGAAGATGTTGCTGTGAATCAAGAGAAAGACACACTGCAACTGAGTAACACAGTCTATGGTGGTGGAACTAGGAAGTGAAATGCCATGAAGATGACAGTAGACAAGTGCAGTGAGAAAGCACTTGGACTTCAACACAAAGATGAGGGGCATAATTACAACTATAATTTTCAGACTGACAGAACATTAATTCAAGAATAATAATTAACTGTACATTTCAGCAACTTGGTGACAAACCTGAGGGCAGGACTGTAGAGTGGAGAGAGTGGATGGAAGTGATGTACCAACAAATATGATCTAGTACATTTCATTTGGTGAGATATGAGGTTCTTGAAGTGGTTACAATAATAACATTCTTCTCGGTTCTGGCGCTGCGTGAACTGGTCAGCAGATGCAACTGTTTTAAGATGAGTATTGTCTCCATTTCAGGGCTGTACTAACAATGTCAAAAATCACAGAAAAGTAGGAAGGGGAGTTCAAAGTAAAGAGCCAATCAGGATAGATTGGAATAGAAATAGAGCTGGGCCAATGGGGAAACTCCAACCAGGCACCAGCTGAGTAGGGGCAGATGGAGCAGGTAGGGTATGAGAGAAGAAGTTGGCCCTTTCCAGGGCCACCACAGGATGGAGTTGACTGTCTCCATTCTTTCAGGTAACAAACAGAGACTTCCATACATGGCCCAGGGAGAAACCATCTTCCTCGTTCATGTTGTCAGGAAGGAGCTCAATCTCTGTTGTTTCCCTGTGTTGTGGCCTGTCTTGACTTCTTGGTCAGAAAACTGGCAATCTACAGCTTTGTCCAATGGTCTAGGTTGATGCTGTGTTTTGCCACTGCAAACTTCTCGGGATGGTACAGACAGATGTATAAGTGATGAACGATGCTCCTTAACCCTTTAACCTTCAGTCTCCCCTTCCATACACCATATTACCTCTGTTTCCTAGCAGTCACATAAGTTCTGAAGATGGAGACAGTACACTTCTCTCAAGTGGCGTCTATGACCAGTCCACATGGTTCAGGAACCCCCAAAAAATCATCAACATTTAATTTTGTTACAGCTATGAAACTGAAATTTGGATTCGAATTCCAAGAAGGCACTTGAAAATAATAAGCTTAAGAAAACATTTACCAAAAATGCTTCTTTATATACTTACAATATTACACACATCGCATATAAAAACATACAAAATAGGCTATTAGAAGAGATATCAACTTAAATAAATAACAAACAAATTTGAAACATTTCCCTATTCTTTTGACGAATTCCAGAATTATCCTTCATCTGTATGTATATAATCTGAACTCTTCTAAGTGAATAATCATGCTGTTCATTGCTTCACCCATGAGGTAATTTCATCGTCAATACCCTTCTGTCCTCTTTCATGTGGCAGAAATTCTGCCATTCTTCTCTTGTACTATAATCTGCAAATAATTTTTGAATAGAACATCTGCTTTTCCTTCAAATTTATAGACATGTTCTTTTGTGCTACTCCACTTTTTTCTCCCAATACCAATTTGACAGCATTTACAACAGGAAATGGAGGAAGGTGCAGTGCACCACATACACCAATGATTCCAACAATTATAGAGAATCACCTTTCTGGATGAGAAGCAGACGATGATGCAAAATAAATTAAAGTGTGTTTGTTATGGAAAAGTTTGCACTTTTAGTTTTGCACTAACAATCACATTTTGCCAGTAAGAGTTATTGTCACACATATAAATTTCTCTCTTTTCCTCACAGCTGAATTGAAAAATGAGCAGCACTTGAAGTTTCTTACTGGCCAAAAAATTAATATAGACAGGTAGTACAAAGACAAGAACTATTATAATAGTTCTATTAAATATTAGACTTCATGCACAAGCACACACCAGCAGTGACCCCCATTCTGAAACATTGATATGGCAGGCACCCATACATTTCAGGTATGTGGATCAAAGGGTTCAGCAATGTTTCTGTGCTATAAATCCAATTTCAACAAGAATTCATGTGTAATTACTAATTCTGTTGTAACAATGAACTGCTTTCACAGGTTCATTGTATATTTTAATTTAAATGTAACAAATGACCAAATTCATTCATAATTTGTACTAACCTGATGGTGTCTCTGACACTTTAGAACCAGCAGCTATATGAGAACTAGCAGCCAGATTCGTCATTTTATCAAACATCATTTCCTTCTTCTCAAGACATGGCACAGGGTTCACTGGTGCAGTGTTAGGTGGCACCACATCTGGGACAGTACTGCTTGTCAGGTGAAGATGCAGGTGACGTGCCATATTGCTGCGAACTTTGGTAGTATATGAACATGTGGCACAACGCACAGGTCGTGTATAAATTGCCTGACGTGGAAGTAACTCTAATTCTTCTGGTAGGAATACCAACTTGTTGCGCACATCATGTGTATCCTTTCCACTACCTTTACCACTGCGTCCACCTTTACCTTTCTCCTGCAAAGGCAAAATATTAAATGAAATGGGAAACTCACAATCATAACACACTATAATCCTATTAAGTTCAAATATAGAAAAAGTAAATTATTACGGTAGCTGATATATCTGTAGGGGAAAATATTGTTAACAAACACAAGTCAGTACAGGTAAACCTTGATTTACGCTGGGGATGCGTTCCTGGACGAACCGGCGTAAATGGAATCGGTGTAAATTGAAACTCTTTTTATAATGTAAATCAATGACATGCGTTCCCGGCACCCAAACATTGACGACTTAAGTTTCTCAAAAATTGGCTTGGCCTTATCCGTGATAGCAATTTCAGTCAAGGGAATGTTTTTTGGATTCATGTTATCCATCCATAGCAACAGTAATTTCTCCATTCTTTCCAAAAGTTTACTTCTGCTATAACTCACTTGCATTGCACTTACTCTCGTAGCCTGTTGCATTGACTGTTTTATTTTATATGAATTTTTCATTATGGTAGTCACAGTGGAAGGTGGCAACTTCATATTCTGCACACATTGCGATGGGTATCACCACCTTCTATTCTATGAATTATGTCCATCTTATCTTCAAACAAAATAGACCTACGCAACTTTTTAGCAACTCATTCACTTCTCTTACCAGACATGGTGGCTCTTCCACAATTTATAAATATAAAAACAGTTGCTACTGCAGAATAGTGGTCGAACAACACAAACATGTTTAGCACACAGTTTTCAGCACATTCAATGTGTCAACAAGAAGCGAACTGAGCGCATTTTTCCTTACTCCCTTAACAGGCTGAATGCAAATGACTCACCATGAAGAGTGACCAATGCTCACGTGACTGTTGCGCAATGTTGGCAGATTTTTAGGAGATTATCTCGCAACTACTTAGCAATGAGTGCAGAGGTGACTGTATTTATAATTTTTATTCAAAATCAGCAATGTAAGAATTACGATTTAGTATAAGAATCAGTATGAGAAACATTGTAAAACGTTATAAACAGTAAATTTCTTCTTCTTCAGTTTTTGACTTGCTGGTTTCAAAAGCTGTGTTATTCTGAATTGGCGCAAATTGAGGTTTACCTGTACTATATGCCTAGTAGGAAAGCACAAGGGGGAAAAAGCTACATACTAAGAACTAATTTTATAAACTAAATTTCCATTAATCTCAATGCTCTGGCATTTGACTGTACTCAAATGTTCATTCAAACAACAGCTTACCATATCCAAGGCCCAATGTTACATTTCACAATATGCTGGTCTTCCACAATAAGAAGAGGCTCCTGCCAAAATCCCAACGTGTAGGACCATACCTTGTGAACTTAAACTGCTTATTCAATATATTTAAAGCTACACTCTGTATTTGGAGACTTTCTCTATCCACAACCAGAGGACATGGAATGCCATTGCAACAAACAACCCGCTTAAAATGGTGTGCATATTTTTGTTGCTGTGACAACTAAAACAATCAAAATCCATTAATGTGAAAATTTCTTAATCACCTGCATAATGTGAGTCAGTAAAAACAATCTGTATACAAACCTACTTTATTAATGTTGTAATAAACATAAAAACTATTTTAAATCCAGACTATTACCACTCTGATAAACATTTCCTTTAAAAAAGTTACAGCAATTTTATAAAACAAACATTTTAATCCATGCACTGCATAATTTTACCTAGGCCCTAGTCAACAGTATAACCTACAAAACAACAGGTGACAGCACTTAAAGATCAGAGAAACATAAAAACACTTTCATTTTGTATGTATGTGTCTATGTCCACACACTAGTCACTGCATTCTACTTCATATGAAATTTCAACAACAATATGGCAATCACAGGGTCCCTATACATCCCAGTTTGACCAGGACAATACTGATTTGTAGACTTGTCCCACCTGATTCACAGTCTTGTCCCACTTTCTCCCATTTATTTCAGCAGAACGGATTTATATGCATACATAAGTACTTCTGAATCACAGCTCATGCTACTGTAATTGTGACCAAGCATGTTGAATAAAATTATGTTCACTGATGGTTATGATGGCGAATAAGGGATAAACATGCACAGCAAAGCAGTTATCAAGCATCTGAGTTGCTAAGTTTCCACTTTCTTTGTGCAGAATTCTGAAATACAGTTGCAGTTTCTAATAAAACAAAATGGACAGGTACTGGCATTAGTAGTGGTAATGACAAAGCCTGTTAATGAGTTTAAAAAGTGCAAATGATTATTACATTTCAGAACAATTTTATATTTGACGTGATTATAATTTTCCATTCACATTAATTACATGAATTGTGCATGAATTGATATGAAAACTCTATCATGTATTACACTGTGTCCGAGCTTCCTTCTCATGCAAGAAAGTGTCTCAGTTTGTAACAAAAGAAGTAACCCCAGGCAATCATGTTTCTTCTTAATTCTTTCTTTCAGAACTAAAGAACAAGCAACAAAACCTTGAGAAGTATAATCACAACACCAGAATGTCCATAAAAAGCAGTTTCATGTGGACAAAAGTAGCACCCTTACCATTTGCTCATGCTTTAATTATACAAAGCTCTTTCTGGAATCAGAACATGCAATAAGATTTCAACACACAAAAACCTGTTCAGCTAAAGCAGTTTCCACATTCCCTGAAAGTTACTAAGAAAATGCACTCAAACTATAAATCTCCAGATTTCACTTTATTACCTTTTGCAGTTGTCTAACATGGCTCAGAACAATGATAAAATAAAATGATAATGGCAATGAAGAAAACTATCACTAAACAGAGAAATTTATCTTCTTACCTTTGGGAACACTACAAACACTGCTGTTTCTGGGTCTGTTCTCAGAGGGTCAAGAGGGACAACTCTGGTACTGCCAACACGGTGCCTTTGCTTCAGATGTTTGACCACTTGATGTGGTACAGGTGCCCGGAAAGAACACAGTGCACAACCAATGCGCCTGGTACCATGTGTACGTAAGTGTTCAAGCAAAGAACTCACATATTTGAACGGTTTCTTGCAATGGACACATGTCAAGCTAGATGAAGCTCTTGCTAGATCACAAACCAATAAGTGATCTTTCAACAGTGATGAATTTTCAGCTGAGAAAGTGCATGTAACGTAACCACACTGGTATAACATGGAACCAGACAATCCCGCGTCCTCAATGTGTTCCACTCCTACAACACCTGACTCATTCTGATTAGCCTCTACAGTGCTGAACACGCTGTTTGCATTCTTAGAATCTAAACCAGGATTCTCTGCAGGAACTGAAATGCTGGATATATTTTGCAGTGAAGAAGTTATACTTGGGGATTCATCTTTGTTTTGTGTGATTAGAGCGTTCTGAGGCAATTCAAAGCTCAACGGGTCAACAGCTGCTTCAATAGCAGCTGTTGTTTTGGGATTACGATGTTTTACAGTCACCAGAGGTTCATGGAGGAACAAATGTGTATTTTCCTGTGTGGCCGAATGCTTGCCCACTGCATCTGTAACCTGACCCACAGTTTCAGTAGGTGTGTCCAGAACTACTACATCAGAATCTTGGGTGTCATTCAATTTTTTACCTTCCTGTGATTTACCATGTTCTTCCAAGCACTCAATATCAGAATCTGACTGAGAAGGATGTGTTCCATTGGACTGCAAACACACAATTTCTGAGATTGTATTAGAACCCAGAAAACAAGAATTTTGTTGAGATATTGGCTGGGTATGTGATATGTCATCATTTCCCTCATCATCATCAATAACAACAACATCATCATCAGTTTTCTCATCACTCTTCTTTGTAGAAGGATTGGAATTTTGTGACTTAGCATCATTACCACCACACTTAGAAGTTTTCACCATACTTGCACTATCGAGTTTGTTACTTCCCTTCCTGCTCAACTCGGTTAGAAGCAATTCAGTAGGGGGACTGTGCAGTACGGAAGAAATGGCTGACACTGCATTCATAGCTCCATTATCCAAAGATGTTTCCTTGGGGGTCATCCCGGTATTTACATTTAAGTTTTCATTTATATAATGTTCATCTAGTTCAGAACATTTAACATTCGAAGACAGAGAAGGATCTTCAGAAGTAAGTTCCATATCTGGTGGTGGTAATATTAATAAACCATCATCTGATAAGCCTTCATCCAGGTCAACAAGATCTAAAGCATTAAGCAAGTCCTCATTATTCTGCTTTCCACGTAATGCAATAAGCTAAAAACAAGGAAATTCAAAACAAAATTAGCATTATGTTTCTAGATAAAATTATATATGTTGTAAATGATTGTGAAGTTACATATATAGAACAGCACCAGGAGAATTATTTCATCTTAAGATATCCATTGCAGTAGTTCATAATGACTCTCCACCAACCAACCAACCAACCAACTCAGAACTCTCTCAGACATCCCTTCAAGCTCTAGAGCAGGCATGTCAAACTTGCTGCCCGATTCAGTTCTCAAATTACACGTGATGTGCTACTCCAAGGAACAAATTTTAATAAATTTTAAGTTACAAATGCATGTCAAAGAGCTATTTGTGTTCCAATGTTCAATATTTAACTTAAAGTGAAGTGTCTCAATGAAATTAATATTAAAATGACAAATTATTCCAGGGAAATCACATCAAATTTATTCAAGTATAAAAATTTAGCCTAGTCTCTTGAAAATCTATTACACAGATACACATTCTATATATACAGATATAAATTTAAATTTTAAGAAATTATCTAATTTTATATCTTTATATTTTTGTTTATAAGCCATCATTGTACTTGTTGTTGCAGGCTGTATCAATTCGATTTCCAAAGTCATGCCTACTCTTGGCCATTTAGCTTTCTCAATTGACAGTGCAGACATGGCCATGCAAAAAATAAATAAATAAGGGGAAAAACCACCAATGTACTAATGGTTTTCATACCAATGGGATTGCTATCAATAATGCAGTGCAACTGCAAGCTCTGAGTCAGTGGATTAAATTCACAAATAAATGAAATCAATGACAGACATGGAAAGAATGATGTTAAAGAGTAACCAACAAATACAAGAAATCACAAGATTCACAGCTGATGGATAACTGAGCACAGCAAGAATTGCATCTCTTTACAGTATTAAAACATGAAAATATATATACAGGTAGCCCTCGATTTACGCCACAGATGCGTTCCTGGATGAACCGGCGTAAACGGAATCGGAGTAAATTGAAACTCTTTTTAAAATGTAAATCAATGGGAAGTCAATTACATGTGTTCCCAGCACCCAAACATTGACGAGTAATATAATGGCATTACATTTAAAGCTCTGAAATAACATAAATAAAATAAAGGGAATTTAAAAAATATATTTTATACACTTACAATCGGCAATTCGTTGTTCCCCGCGATTCTCTCATGTGATTGATGTGTACAGACATCTCTGCTGTTATGCAATAGTTGCATTCATGTAAGACGCCGACCTATAGAAAATCGCATAGTAAAAATAACCCCGGTACCTCCGCAGAGATCAAATTAGTCCTTTGAAAGTTTAAAGCGCCAGGAATGAAACTGCATAAGAGCAAACTTGCATATGCAAAAGTTTGCATTTCACAAACACCTTTTACCGATTCATCGAACTCATTGGAGCACATTCGCGTTAACAAAACATATGTAATTGCAGAGATGACTGTATTTATAATTTTTATTCAAAATCAGCGATGTAAGATTTATGATTTAGTATAAGAATCAGTACGAGATACTTTGTAAAACGTTATAAATAATAGTAAAATTTTTTTTCTTTCACTTTTTGACTTGCTGGTTTCAAAATCGGCGTTATTCTGAATCAGTGCAAATCGAGGGCCACCTGTACAATGGCATACAACCACATAGTAATTCTAAATATTCATACTGAGTTCATGTCCTTAAGACTATAGCCTAAGTCACAGTAGTAAGAACTGTGAAAACTTAAATCTGTATCAGCACAGGGTGTGAGCCAGGGTTATTCAGTCAATCTGACTATGGACTGGGTGAGTAGGGTTAAATCTGCAGCCAGGGAAAGTTTTTTTTAACTTCTGCATCCAGACTGACTCTGGAGCCCACCCACACTATCCAATGCAAAACAGGGGTCCTCTATCCAGGAGTAAAGAGCAACCAGGGAGTGGACTTTGAGCACTCACCCCCACCTAGTGCCAAGGTCAAGTAGGATCTATACCACCCCCCAAACAAATTCAATCCCCATATCTTTGACACTATAAAAGCAGAAGTAATGTAACACAGCCCAACAATTCTTGCACAGACTGCAGCAAAATGTTTACGGGAGAAGGAAATTGGCGAACAAATGTTTGTATGAGAGAAATTCTTTTACCTTCTGAAACGAATAGTAATCAACAACAAACTCACTAAGTGGAGGACTTTTTTACATAAATTACATACACGATGGAAAAAATCAGAATTAATAGTATGGCATTAAATTAATAAAAGTTCAAAAAGTCCTTAAACAGCATTATTTTTACATGTGTGCAACAGTTTTATCACCAAAACCAACCTTACCTTACTAATGCTTGAAGATCGAATTATCACCTTAGCCAACTGATTTGAATGGAAATTACATAAATGGTGATGCATTTCTTCTTTGGTGTCAGTGCCATGAAGACAATATAAGCACTGATAGAAACAACATGAATGCAATTTGTAATGCTGTAAAAGAAGAGTATTTTAATCTATTAGTCATAAAATTACAAATAACATCAACAAGATAGCCATTATGAAGTGAAGCTTTCGCGGTGACCGAAGTTGATGAAAAACTCTCAGGCAACAAGCCGTGTCAGGTGGCTGAATGGTGAATGAACCATTTCTTTCGCCAACGTTTCGAGAGCCATCTCTGCCCTGAGAATGAGGGCAGTGATGGCTCTCAGAACAGGGGAAGAAATGGTTCATTCACCATTCAGCCACCTGACGCAGCTTGACGGCCGAAAGTCTTTCATCAAGAAAGCCACTATCATATATAACTGAGTCTTCAGTAAGTTTTGAGGTACCACTGTTTCGTCTTCCATCTGTTGAGATATGGATGTCAACAGAATCCATTTATCTCTCAAAATGGATGCTGTATGGACATAAATAATGATGCCATCTTCAGTAACAGTAACAAAAATCAAGACAGGAAGTAGTATCTTGTACATTTCTTACAGAAGCACAGACTTGTCCTTTAGGTTTTCATTTGCCAAAACATAGGGTAATGCTCAACATCTGATGCAGTTCATCCCCAAAAGCAAAAGTTGTACAGTGATAAGATGGCAGTTGCAATTTATGTTTCTAAAGCATTAGAAATTTTCATAAAATTGAAGTTTATAATACTGAAACAAATTACCATACCTCAGAAACTGGATGAGACATGTATGAATGTGTTAAATATCTAATTTCTTTCAACTTATGTTGTTTTTACATACATTTCATTATAATATGGTTAGACCTAATCTATAAACTTGTCATCTTTTCATTTTCTACAAATTTCTCCTCTTTAAACAGATTTTAGTATGTCATTCAGAAATGTTAATGAAGATTCTGAATAAGTTATTCCCACTTGTGGACACAACAGACATTTCTCAATGGTTTACCACATACACAAAACTTGTAATTCTTTCTATGGTTTTGGGCGCTTTAGCTCTTTCCTGTTACCATTCAATCTCTGCATTATTCTTTTTAGACTTTTATCAGTCATAAGGAAGATAAAAAATACTGTTAACATCTTCACTGTGGTGACTGAATGTACTCAGTTTCATGCAAATAGTATAACCTTGCATTGACCATGCATACTAACTCAAAATTTCACAGTATTATTGAGTGAATTGTGTTTCTAAACTTGTCCACAAGCTTCCGCTATTTTTAAGGAATAATTGGAAATATATTGGTGACAACATAAATAAATAAGCATTTGTATTCCCTCTGCATGCTGTGCAACCAGTACCATACTGATTTTTAAGCAACTAATAACAAAGACACTTACAGCTAGGAGACGATCAGACTTGAAACTTTTACTCTCGCATATGTGACATGAATAGATGGCAAGCTGAGAATGTTCCTTCTCCAAATGGTACAAAAAATGATCTGAAATGTAGAATACAGCACCACAGTTGCCTGAAACAACAAATATGATTTCACTTTACAATGATCTGGCTACCAAATGTAAACAAGAAATAAACATACAGTATGAATGTAGGCAGCATAAGATGTTTCATTTATACACAATCATTTTAAATGAAAAAAGATGTGCACTCTGTGGTTTAAGTCTGAATGGATCATTATTTGCAAAGTTTAACAAAGGGACCACTGTTGTGTTGTAAATTTGTGATCATAACCAATGACTTCTATGTACAGTGAATCACTTTTCTTTCTTTTAGTCTTTCCTTTGTCCCAATCATTTGCATCCCATACTTCCTTACTTTATCTTCATTCTGTGTATGTGCTGTAGTCAATTAGGTAGTTTTCACTTTCAATGATCATATTGGTAACATTTAGTTTTTCTTCTGTTGTAAGTATTTTGTTGGTGATTCAGTCTTACCCCATAAATGTCATAGAAACCATGTCTGTTCTGTCTCCAATATTATAGCCCTTTTTTCCCCCTCCTCCTCCTCCTACTACTATTACTCAGGTCTCACCACCATATTTTCAAGTTGCTTTTGATGTGATTCCCACATAACTGAACACTGTGCTATTTGCAATGAGTCATGCACTGATTTCTCACTGGAATTCACTTGTTAAATGTTTACAGCAGGTTATGTCACTTTAAGAAAAATAAGAATGAATGAAAATGATGAAAAAAATAGGATAATATAGACTTTATACATCTTTGTCATTTGAATATAATATATTATTACGCACAACTTAAACCTTAGCCATATGTAGCATATCAGAATAAGGCAAAATAAAATACTCCTGACGTGTGCTATGTATTAAAATGCATAGTATAAATGGTAGTTAAATTAAATGATCTGACGGCATCCATACTTAAAAAGTAATGCAAACTGTTAATAACAGTTCACTCAACTTCTATGTACGAGTTGTTATACGAGCAAATTAATATGAACAGATTTTTTTTTACTTTTAAAATGCTGTTAATAGGTTTTTATATCCCTGAACATAACTTTCTTTCTGTTATGCATTTCACTAATGAGTTTTGTGGTATTATTTAGTGATTCTGTAAATTTAGTTATGTTTAATAAAAACCTGATTATTTTTCTGTACTCTTTTTAGGAATGACTGATAAGACACGTAAAAAGTAAGACCATAACATTGCATGAACATACTTCACTTACTCAGGGACAACAGTGTTTGGGAGCTGTTAACAAGATTCTGAAACTACAAAATGATTTTACCACAAATGAAGAGGCGATGTGGCTAAAAACATAAAAGAGCTTTTAAAGATGGCATTTTGCAGCTGAGGAAGTGCAAAATTAATCTCTTAAGATTAGCTGAGATGTTCAGAAGGACTTAGCTACAGCTGAAGTTCAAGTACATGACACAACAGTCTGCAAACGTCTAGTGGTTGGTTGGTAAACTAATATGCCAGCTAAGAAACAATTTTTGGCTTAAGTAATGTAGAAACAAATAGTCACTTAGGGCAAGAAATTCAACATTTGGACTGCAACAGATTAGAAGAAAGTTTTATTTTCTGTAGAATGTCATTTTCAGGTTCACAGTTTGAGAGTCACTCATGTGAGGTCAATGGAGAATGTGTAGCCCCAAAGCATATGCAGCAGGCTATATTAAAAAAAATATTCTAGCGCTGGTTTTCATGCTGATACTGGTCCTTCGGTACCTGATAAAAGATAGATGAATGGTAACAAGTACATACCAATTTAAGTGACCAGGATGCTTCCACAACTTATAATTGCTGGTGGATCTGGACCTCACTTCATACAGTGCTCCAAGAAAGTGAACAATTTTCATCTTACATTAAAATAACTTGTTTGGAGTGGCAAAACTCTACAGAAAATCTATCGGCAGTTTGCAAGGACAGGTTGAGAAAACTGGATTCTATAACAAAGTATAAAACTGTATGTGCAATAAGATTATAGTTCCATGATCCAAAACTTTCAGAAACTTGTGGATTCAATGTCTGAAAGGATTAACCTCATTATAAAAGCCAAAGGATGTCATATTAAGTACTAAATAAAATGTTCCACTTTATTTTTGTAATTCTATAACAAAGTAGGAGCTATACTGCCGCTCCCCTCAAGCGCCTACATGGCGTATAGTAGGACAGCTTTGCTTTACTTTACTTACTTTCAAGTTTATGACAAAATAAAACTTTACAAAAAACAGATCATTTGTTCATATTAATTTGCAAAAGACTGCACTTCCAAAACTTGGGTATGTACCAATTACCTTGTCAATAAATTATAACACCTTGTTCGCTCATTATCATGAACCATCATAAACTCTCATACTGTAGTAAAAAATATTCACAACCGGAAGCAACTGACTAACATAACAGAGCAAACTAAAATGCAATATGCATGCTACTTGTTCATTCTTATCACTTTATCTGAAGTGACTCTGGACTGCCTTTTAAATCAAACAGATAGCTAATTCAGTTATGCCTTATCAGAACCCATAATATTTGCTGATGACAGAAATGTCATAGTTTCTAGCAAAAATTATAATGATTTCTGTTCAATGTCATAGTTCTCCCATATGTGCAAATGGTTTACCGGTAATAAGCTGTCCCTGAATCTAGATGAAACAAATGCAATAAGATTTATAATAAATAATTCACAACAACATGCTTTTAAGTATTGGTTATAATGGAAAGTATATAGAAGAGTTAGTACATACAAAATTCCTGGGTTTGCAAATTGGACAAATCATAGTGATAAACTGATAGCTAAGTTGAGTGTAGCTAGACCTATGTTCCATAATGAAGTATGGAATAATTTTTTGTTTGCGTAATTCATCTAACAGCAACAATTGTTCATTTTACAAAAGAAAATCATTAGATTAATGGCTGGAGTCAAACCTAAAAATTCATGTAGAATGATCAGAGATCTTAGTTCTTCCATGTGGATACATATTCTCATGAATGAACTTCATAGTAAATAACACTTTCAAACCAATTCTGCTACACACAGCATCAACACAAAGAATAAGAATCAGCTTCATAGGCCAACTGCCAATCTCTCATGGTTTCAGAAGAGTGAACATTGTGCTGGAATCAAAGTTTTCAAGTCTACCATACAGTCTCTCAAATCTTATAAATAAAAATCCACAACTGAAAGTAGCATTAAAAAATGATTATACATTCCTTTTATTGTTGATAAATTTATGTTTATGAAAAACTCCAATTGTTCATAAAGGTTTTCTAGTCTTTATATACACCGCTCCCCAGTTATATCATGGGGTTTCAAGGGGTGGGTTTTGACCCACGTAATAAGACAACCGCACTATAACCCATGCCTACAATTTTTTTCTTCCAATTCATTGATTCTCGCTTCAAACAGACTCCAAATATATACGCGAGTGAAATCCGACCATATCTGCGATATTTTCAATGTTTTCATCAGTTAATAAGTGACACACTAATTCTTCTTTGTCAATATCAACCCACTGATCGATCATATTCTCTGTGAGTATATATGTATAGCAATTTGTCCACTGTTTTTGCTCTTTATCGGTCACAGTTTGATTATCTCCATCAGCTGTTCTCTCACAAACACCGGGTCATTTGATTGGGGAAGCCTCCTGCGGTGCAAGGTTTGTAAAAGAAAGTTAATATTTTTCTCAGAATTTTGTCCAACAGCAGTGTCAGGCAGTAAGACTTGCGGTATATCCGAAACTGCAGTATAAATGACGGTGTTATATCTGGGGAGTGGTGTACTATAAATGGGTGGTATAATTTATCTACTGTATATAATGGGCAGGTTTACTTGTAGCGTTTCACTACTTTATGGGAAGCTTTTGATTGTTTCTTTTAATCTTTATAATTGTATGAACTGTAGTTGTGTTACATACAACGTATTATTATGTCTTATTCCACATCCTGTCACATATCTTAATGGATCTATCAAATGTTTTATATACATGAATGTATGTATTAAGTATGTAATGGACATCACTATCACAATCTTGTAGCTAGACTAACCCAGATTCTGTGAATCTTGTACTGGTCACAACCACAAACAGTAGATAAAGTCATAATCTAATCTGCTGGTAAATGGATACTGATGTAAGGTTACAATACATGGTCTGAATTTTGGCTGGGCTACCAGCCAGTATTAAGCTTGATTTTCCCATTTTCTCTAGATTAATGAAAGGACAGTTCATTTAAGCATGCCAGGACTGTCTCTTTCAAACCCTTACTGACCATCACACAGTCATATTTCCATCCCAACAGGCAGTTACTAAGGCACAGTCAAGACATCATCTATTTTTGAATAATTAAACTGCATATTCAAATACTATTCTTTTTAAAGCTTGATTAAGAATTTATAATTTCATTAATTTCAATATCAATTTATTCAATTCAATCAGTTTTTATGCACATTCCTGAGCTGCACATCCTGAATTTTCTTTTGCATTTTCAATTTGTGAGGTTTATGACACTGCATTAGCAACAAAAGTAGCACATCTGCTCCTATCTTTCTACGTGAGAAAGAGTCACTGCTCAGATTTTAGATACTGGTGTTTTTACTAAAATTTGAATTTTATTTCATAGTTTGTCGCTAACAGACATAAAAGTAGGGAAAACCATACATGTAACAGAATAGTCTTGTGTTCTTAATGGAAATGGGCAGTGTTTGTGGCCTTAACCAACACAATACATTGTAACAAATTTCTTGTTATAGCTTGTTAACCAATCAGGAGGAAAAGATGTAATGGGCATGTCCTGTTCCTACATTTTGAGGTGATGGGAACACACATTTTCAGTATTTCTCAATTTTAAGATGCCACCAATAGTAAGACAGTCTCAATTTAGTAACAGGTTGTTTTTTGTTGTTTTTTTTTTTTGGGGGGGGGGGAGAACGTATTTTGTGATAGGAATTGTCAATATTCAGGCATAAAACTTTTTTGTTTCAATACTTTCAAAATCTTCTTTGTTGCTACCTTTATGTTTACTGCCCAATCAACAGTGTTATGGACATTAAGATTTTCCTTGTACTTCAGTCCTAGAATATAATTTTTGACACCAATTCTTAGACACCATAAAATGTAAGATGCACCCTGATTTCAGAAATTTTATAATATAAAATAGTGCATCTTAAAATTGAAGAAATATGGTATATATAATTGCAGTAACTAGATCAAGTGACATTTTCTTCAAGAATTTGCATAGTTTTATTAGCAGCTAGCCACAAAAAGGCTGTGAACACAGCCCAAGAGATACAGAGTTTCATCAATCCTGAGCAATATAAAAGCTGACCTGAGATAACCAATACCAGTACTTCACCCATTCCTTCATAACCATGATTAATCCCCATGAGACAACTTATCACCTGATAATGAACCAGATGTAAACAACTACAAAGTAGCATAGACAGTAAAGCAACTTCAGGAACAACCAATGTATAATGTGCACACAACTGAGAGAAAAAATAAGAGAGGACACTGAAGATGTTATATTCTATTCAGGATTTGTATGAAGCAGACATTAACAAACAATGGTCAGGGAGCGACATCATACTGGCATGTACTTTTCCTCCCACCTTATCACTGTCAGCCCAATCCCACTAAACAGAGATCAGAAATGTCATGTGATTCTGAACTTGTGTCACTTGTCTCCCTTTTCTCGTGTGTTTACTTCAGCTCCATGCACTTCTAAAATAAAACATAATTCATTCATATTCTGCAATTTCCAGTAATCTCACTGTCCCTGACCGACTACTAGAAGCATTAAATTTATAAACATTATCCTTTGAAATAATGTTATTAATTAGATAATAATAAAATTACAATTAAAACTGAAAACATGTACTTCACTACCTTGTTCACAGATGTATGGCACAACTACAGAGGATCGAGGTTTTGCCAGATTCACTGGGTTGGGAAGATTTCTAATTTTTTTGCACATGAGAACAGCTACGTGCTCACTGGTATGGCTTGTGTTCTGAAACAAATAACACAACATACAAGATATATATCACCTTAGCAGAGTCCTTGAAAAGCTGGTAGTCCCTCAGCTGGTCAATAAATTCCCCACTTGAAACCTCATTAGTGTTCATTACTCAGGGTAGAAACCTTGAGTCAACTGAATACAGTCCACCTGCTTGATTTTAACACTCTAAAATCATTTGGTGAAGAGTACAAATTACACTTACATACACAATTTTTGTTTCCTAATGTATGATACATGATTTAAATGTTCTTTTATTGCTGATACAAATTTAAAAACAGAATTTTGCCATCACCCATAGATTTTTAAAAATCATAAAAAGATTTTGAATTATGCATACAGCTAGTATTTAAAGAATTGTCTTATTCATTCTTGTCAATCTTATTTGACTGTTTTTATTTTTTAATTTAACTGATGACATTAAAAAATATAACATATAACTTTGTAATTATATGTTCTATCTGCAAGTAAAAGCTGGCTGCAGAAGAATACAAATATTTTGATCTTTTGTCACTGGCAAAAAGATAATGGTCAGTATTTTGCTTCAGCTGGTAATTAGATTTACTGTACAGATATTGATAAGGTTGATTCATCAAAGCTTAGTCTAAAAGCAATTCTTCACAATGGCAACAAGCATCCCTCTATACCAACTGCTTATGCAGCGCACATTAAGGGAACCAACAAAAACATGAAAAACCTACTTGACAAAATTAACTACAAGCACTGTTGGAATGTGAGGTGACTTGAAAATTATAGCAACCTTGTTAGGCATGCAATTAGGATATATGAAGTACTGCTGATTTATTTGCGAATGGGAAAGCCAAGTACTACTTGGTGAAAAATTGGGAAAAAAGTCACAAACTGACCCCAGGTGAAAGAAATTTTGTTCACGATCCCTTAGCTGATGCTGTGAAGGTATTTTTACTGCCACTCCATATAAAACTTAGTTTAGTAAAAAATGTTATCAAAGCTCTGAAGAACGATGGCGATTTTTTTATATCTGCAGCAGAAAATCTCCCACCTCAGTGAGGCAAAGATAAAAGGAGGGATATTTGTTTAGCCCAGTGACCAACTACCAGACTGATTATTTTTGTGGTTTTTCCATCCTTCCAAGCAAATCCTTACCTCAGTACCTTAAAACTGGCCATAACCATTTCCTTCAATATTCTTCCCAATTCATTTTCATCTTACCATTTGAAACTGTACAATCTGAGCTACTGACAGCATAATTTAAACATTAATAAGTAAAAGCCAATCTTGTACCTGCCATAATGGAAAAAGGACTCCTACACACACCCCAGGTCAGATTCCAAAACAAACTGACCTAAACTCACAAACTAATGCCAGATAGCACCTTAAAAAAACAGTTTCTTCCTCCCAACCACACAGGTAGTAAAGCAAATTTACAAACAGTACTTACCTGATGAAGGACGATATAGGACTTTGATATGGCCCGATAGAAACAATATGCACACTGGTACAGGCAGTGTCCATGCTCTGTCTGAATGTGTTCTAGTAGATCTGACATAGATATGTGCATGACACAACAATAAGCACACTGCTGCCAATCAGATAACTTTACTGCAGGTGGTCTTCCCTTCCTCTTCTCTGATGATGTCCTCTGACCCGCCTGATCCTCATGTTCATAATAATGTTTAGTGAAACTCTCCGCAAAGTCTGTTGTGTACGAGCACAACCTTGACATGCATTTGTATAAATGTCGCAGCTTAATAGGCTTTATCATCCTTTGGTATACTATTGGCACTTTGGAAGCTTTTGCATATGATGGTGCTATAGCTGACTTGTGAGGAAGTTTACTCTTTGAGACCACTGTTGACAGGACTGTATTACTGGCTGGTGTGATGGAAGCTGAGGGAGGAGAAAAGTCAAAAGAGGGCTTTGCTTTTTGTAGTATCTTAGCAGATGGAACCTGTATTTCCAATCTTTTCTTGACTGATGTTGAAGATATCGGAGCCTTTGCTACAGACGTAGTTTTTGTAGTCATGGTCAAAGAAGGCATAGTTTTCATATTCACCATTACAGGAGCCTGAGATTTGGTAGTCAACATCACAGGTGATTTTGTTTTAACCTGATTATCTTTAATTTCTAGACGGACAAAGGTTCCCTTTGGTAATATATTAGGTAAAAGCTGATTACACCATACCCCTCCTCCTAACACTCCAGCTGAAAGCCTCTCTTTGGCAACAGTCACTTTAGAATTCGTTGGTCTCGTAATCTGAGCGAGACACACAAGTGAATGAGGTATGTTTGTTGAAACACTGGGTTTAGGGGCTATGTCAGAAGGTTTGCAGCTGGATAATTTTACTGGTGACAACTGTACATTATTAAACTTCATGGGAGAGAGTTGTTGTAATGACGGAAGTATTGTAATGGTTGAAGACTTTGACAAGGGATTTATAGGAATCATGTGCATTGTGCCTTGAGGGCGTGGACCTTTTCCTCTCAATACTGAAAGAGGCAGTGGAGATGATGTTAACAACTGTACATCTGGTGAAGAAGTCTGTTCAACACTTGTGGAGGATACTGAAGTAGTAATGAATGGCACAGAACTCTCAATAACAGATGTAGTCATGGCAGCTGTTACAGAAATAGCACAGGAAGTACCAGGAATGGAATACATGTTGTTTGAAGAAGACGATACATTACTGCTGTTCCCAGAGTCAGAGTTCTCTGATGATTTAGAAGAATTCTGAGGATCTTCAACCGCCCTTAGAATGTCATTCACCTGCAAATGGTACAAGTAAGTATGTCACATAAATAGCACAGTACATCATACGCATCAACTTGTACATATAAAAATAACTGTTCTGTGACCCAAACCTAAAATATAAGCAGTGCCCATTCCCAGAATGAATACATTTTCTACATATATCTGCAAACAGCATAAAGTCCATTTTGACTTTAGCTTTCCTGTATATTTGTTAGAAACAACCTTGCTTTTATCAAACAAAGTTTAATTATAATCCTTACTGTCATTTATGATCAAATATAATTTTAAATTATAACACAAGTCTTAAGAAAAAAGGATGTGATGATGTAGACTAAATTCATCTCATTTAGGGTAGAATCCAGTGTAAGCACTTGTGAACATGATATGAACCTTCAGATTCCATGGGAAATTATTAACTAGCCATGTGACTATTAGCTTCTTAAGGAGGACTTTGCATCACGGACCTAGGTGTAGTTAAATATAAACTTGGTCCACACAGACCATGTAGGACAAAAGAAGGAATAAGAGCACTTTTCGACTAGCTGCCAAACCAATATGTGGAGATAATCTGCAATGTACGATGTGAAGCTAGTAAACATTTAAGGAACAAAAAGTGGGAATATCTGAAAGACAAAATTAATGAGCTTGCGACATATAATTAGCATAAGAACATTAGAAACTAGGGATAAATGAAGTTAATAAAGGTTACTAACCATGAAGTAACTTGGTAAAGGACGAGAATGCTGATCTGCTTGCAGATTCCCATAATATTCTGAATAGGTGGAAGAATTAGTTCTCTTAGCTATTGAATGTTTATAGGATTAGTGATGTTAGGCAAATGAAAATACATCTAACTGAACCATAAGTAACTAAGCCTAGTGTTTTTGAGGTTGAAATTGCTACTGCAAAAGTTGAAAAGGTATAAATTTCCAGGTAGTGATCATATTCTGGTAGAACTGATTCAAGCAAGAGGTGAAACATTATGTTCTGTGATACAAAATCTGTAATTCTATTTGGAATAAGGAAGAATTGCCTCACCAGTGGAAAGAGTCTATTACTGTACCAATTTACAAGGCGATAAAACTGACTAGTAATTACTGATGCATATCACTGTTAACAACTTCAAACAAAATTTTATCCAACATCCTTCTCTCATGGTTAGGTCCTTACATAGATGAAATTATTGGGGATCATTAGTGTGGGTTATAATGCAAAAAGGTCAAACTATGTACCAGATTATTTGTATTCGTCAAATACTAACTAACTAGATGGCTTATGGAACCCAAAGGTTCATCATCGAATTAACCAAAGCCCTCCACCAGTCCCTGTCCTGAGCCAAAAATTATCCAGTCTCCTTCAATTCCCATCTCCCATAGATCCTACTTAAGAAAATCCTCCCACCTACACCCTGGTCTCCACAGCAGTCTCTTAACTTCAGGCTTAACAACCAACACCCAGTGCACCACTCTTGAACCTTCCATGCACACATGCCCCACCCATCTCATTCTTCTTGACTTAATCACCCTGACAATATTAGGGAGGAGTACAAATTTTTAAACTCACCATGCAGTTTTCTCCATACCCCATCCTCTTCTCTCCTAGGCCCAAATATCCTCAACACCCTATTCTCAAACACCTGCAATCTATGTTCCTTCCTCAGAGTGAGAGACCATATTTCACACCCATACAAAACAACAGGCAGAATTATTGTTTTGCATATTTTAATCTTCAGGTTCTTAGAAATTAGACAGTGAGACAAAATATCTTGAACTGAGAAGTAGCAAGCATTTCTGGAATTTACTTTCCTCCTAACTTCCTCCTGAATATCATTTTGATTTGTTATTTTTGCTCCCTAATATTTGAACTTTGTCACACATCTGAAAGATTTACTGGCCACCCTAATATGATTTTGCCTGCCTATCTGCAGACAGGATACTAATATGTACTTAGTATTTTTCTGAATTTACTTCTAGCCCCACCTTTCTACTAGCTTCAAGTAAAACTTCTGTGTTCCTCTTTATTGTATTTATATTGTTACCCAATAAATTAATATCATCAGCATATGCCAATAGCTGATGTGTCCCATTCAATTGCAAACCCTCCTGCCTATCTTGGACTTCACTGATGGTGTATTCTAATGCAAAGTTAAAGAGCAATGGAGACAAAGCATCTCCTTGTTTCAGACCATTCTTGATGGAAAATGAGTCAGATAAATATTTATCTACATGAATTTTACTAGAGATTTCATTGAAGCACATTTTTATTAGACTCACTAGTTTCTTTGGTACACCAAATTCAATTAGAATATCGTATAACACTTCTCTCTTAACAGAGGCTTTTTTAAAATCTATGAACAATTTATGTATGGTCCCACTGTACTCCCATTTTTTCTCTAGTATTACAGATAAAGAAGATCTAATTAATTGTTGATGTTACATCTGAACAAACACTGATGAACCCCAATAATTTCATTTACATATGGAGTTAATCTTGCCAGAAGAATGTTTAATAGAATTTTGTATGAAGTTGATAGTAGAGATATTCCTTGGTAAATACCACACTCTGTCTTGTCCCCCTTCTTATGAATAGGAATAATTATGGATTCCTTCCTTTATTGTGGTATCTCTTCCTTATCCCAAATAAACTGAATGGGCTTATAGATCTCCATATGCCACTTGTTTTAATTAATTCTGATGGAATTTGATCAATACCTGAAGATTTATAACTTTTCAACTTTTAAATGGCTAGTTCAACTTCATCTAAATTAGGTTCTGACACCAACAGCTCAGCCGTATGTATTTTAATCTGTCGAACATCATCAGTCCCATAAACATTTAAGAACCGATTTATGAAATTTTGATAGCCAGTAAGTTGTCATCATCCTTTACCAAATTAGTCTGAGGTTGATATCCTTTCTTAAAATCATTTACGCCTCTGTACAGATTTCTGATATTTTCCCCCTTATTACTTGTTTCAAGCTCAATAATTTTGCCTTTCAGATATTACCTTATCTTTTTGCAAAAGGTTCTACTAGCTTCACTTCTCACATTACATAGATTATCTGTATTCATTTTGTTTGGGACCTGCAATCTCTGAAATTTTGTTTGCTCCCTTCGATCTATTAATTTTGAACATTCTTCATCAAACCATTATTTATTTTGCTTTCTCCTGCAGTATCCTAGTTTCTCTTTGGCTGAAACTTTGATACAGTTTCTGACATTTTCCCACTCCATGTTGATATCCACACTTTCATCATCTGTATCTGCCTCTAAAATTTTAAACCTATTCCAATATCTGCCTCTAAAATTTTAAACCTATTTGAAATTCTGACTTGATATTGCTCCTTTACCTATCCCTCATTTAATTTTTTCAAATAAAATCTTTCTGTGTCAAAATTTTGCTTAGTTTGTCTACTTACTGAAAGACTCCCTCACTTCTGCCACTACTAGATAATGGTCAGTGTCACAATTTTCTCCCCTGAAAGACCTCACATCATTTATACCTGTCTGCCTTCTATTATACTAGAGGAAAAATATGGGAGTACAATGAGACAGTACATCAGCTACTCACAAACTTCAAGAAAGTGTATGATTCAGGTAGAATGAAGTACTATACAATATTCTCACTGAGTTTGATAAACCCATGAAACTAGTTAGGCTTATTAGAAACATATAGTAGAATCGTAAACATTTATCTGACGTTTTCTATTCAAAATGGTCTAAAACAAGGAGATGCTTTATCACCATTGATTTTCAACTGCTTTATAACATACAATTAGGAACGTCCAAGAAACCAGGTGCAACAAACTGAATAAGACACATCAGCATCTGGTCTGATGTAATCTACTGGGGGATAACATAAATACCAGAAGGAAAAGCTAAGAAGCTTCAACTGATGCTAGTAAGGAGATTGGTGTAGAAGTAAACACAGAGAAAACTAAGTATACGTTGAGCTCCAGAATCCAGAGCAAAATCGTAACATAAAGATAGCTAATGGACCCTTTGAAAATGTGGCAAAGTTCAGGTATTTTATAGTGAAAATAACAAATCATATCTGATTCCTGAGGAAACTGAGAGCAGATTAAATTCAGGCAATGCCTGCTACCAATCAGTTCAGAACTTTTAGTCTATTTGTCTGCTGTCTAAAAATGTAAAGATTAAAATATACAAAACTATAATTCTTTAATAGGTGTGAAACTTGGGCTCTAACACAAAGGGAGAAACAAAGACTGAGGGTGTTTGAGAATGGGGTGCTGGGGAGAAAATCTGGACTGAAGAGGGATGAATGAATGGGAGCCTGGAGAAAGTTGCACAATGAGGATCTTCATAAGTTGTATTCCTCGCCAAATATAATTAGACTGATCTAGTCAAGGAGGATGAGATGGGCAGGGCATGGGCGAGAAGAATGTATACAGGGTTTTGGTGGACAAACCAAAAGGAAACAGACCACTACGAAAACCTAGACGTAGGTGGGAGGATAATATTAAAATGATCTGAAACACGATGGGGTAGTATGGAATGGATTCATCTGGCTCTGAATAGGGAGCAGTGGCAGGCTCTTGTGAACACAGCAATGAACCTTCAAGTTCCATAAAATGTTGGAAACTTCTTGAGTGGCTGATCAACTGTTGGCTTTTCAGGAAGAACTCAGCTCCATGAACGGAGTGAGTAAGTAACAATAAATATTTTCAAACAAAAGATAGAGGTACAAAGAAGATAATTTTAGACATACAGAATACCGTATAAACTGTATAATTTTTGTAAGATCTGAGGTTTTCACAGAGGTAAGTATGAAAATTTCTGTCTTCTGGGTTGTTGCGCTGTGTAGTCGGGTCGATGTTAACCAACGTTTGAGAGGTCATACTGTCTCTGTCATCAGGGCAATGAATATTGTGTAGTCTGGTCGATGTAAACCAATGTTTCAGAGGTCATACTGCCTCCGTCATCAGGGCAATGAATATTCATGACCACTGAAACGTTGGTTAACATCGACCAGACTACACAGCGCAACAACCCAGAAGACAGAAATCTGTATAATTTTTAATCAAACCAAACTAAATGAAACTGGACTATCTGGATGTGGTATGTTATCAGCACACACCTCAGCTAACTTCCCTCTTATTTCACACTTTTCCTCTGTAAACTGCCTTATTGACTGAATTGTCATTTCAATGTGTCCATGTTTATGACGGGATATTGTAACTAGGCACACTATCCACAAATAATCCCACTCTATAAGACTGTAACAGTAGTCTACAGACATGTGCAAGAAGCCATGTTTAACATTAAAAAATGTCAGAACCACATTGTATTCATAAACATTTCAGAATAACAATGGTATGTATAACCTATAAAATGAACTCATGAAATGCAAGAGCCACTGATGCACTCACCAATGTGTGATTTTATGTGAACAGATGGCAATAAATACATGATGAACTGTACTGAACCAGATAACAATATTAAAGGCATTTACAATGTTTTGATAAACACTTGACATAAAACAGAGCAACAAACAAGAACTTACATCCTCTGAACCCATAGCATCTGGATTCAGACTGACGACACTCTCTATCCTGAGAAATGGACCACAGTCTTCTTCATTATTAGTCATTTCCTCCCCAAGGACTTCATTAAATAATTGGTTAACTTCTGCAACAAAGCAATCAATATTGGTTACTCAGGAGATGCATGACATAATCCAGATCTTGCCTGCCACATGCATCTACTCTTATAAACGGTAATAAAATATATTTAGTATGTTCCAATTTTTGTAAAATTTAACAATTCAATAGTGTCCTATATGCAATAAACTTCTAATTAACCAGGGATGACTTTTTCTTTACATAAAAGCAGCTTTCTAACCTCTT